CACACTCTCCACACATTCACTCTTCGCCGTGGATCTGACACCAAAAGAATGAATGCCGTTATCTTTGTGACTCGAAAGAGAAAGGTATGCCATTCAACTTACGTAGTGTCTCTCGATGAACACATAAAAGTGTAAGCTGGGAACACCGAGAGGAAACAGATATATGCGGAACTGATTATCACGGCCTCTACACACGACGTTGTCATACTCGTCGCGCTCCCGCCCGTCCGTGCAGACTGCCCGAGAGTCAGCGAGACCCCTTCATATCGTCGGTCCTACCCGGGCGTGACAGCTGCACTCCATGTCGGCAAGATTAGTGTCCTCGTCAAGGTTTTCAACGCGACGAGTTTCTCATAATCACAATTCTGTCGTCCGTGTTCTCGGTTGCCTCTTTTATCCCTCTCAACACCCTCCCGCGTCGAAGGGCGACAAGAGAAAGCCCACCGCGTCGACGGGCAAGAAGAGGAAGAACCCTTATTCGTCGAAGGCGAAGAAGGGGCCGAGCAAACGTCGCCACAGCTACCCCCCACGGACCCCCGGCACGCGAACATGACGATTGAACGCCTCTTCAGCGAGGGCTACATCGTCACCGGCGGCTTCTCGTACAACCACCCTCAGTTCGAGAGGGAGATGGCCAAGTTCAACGGCGTGAAAGTGAACGGGAAACCGACCTGGCAGAAGCAACCCAGCGGCCCCTCCACGTTGCACAACAACATCGTCGTCACCGACCACTTCCGTTCGCTGGCCCCGTTCCTAGGACCGTTGGCGAAGTTGTGCAAGCCAAGGCCGTCGACCGACCGCCTGTTCACCAAGCAGAGGGTTCAACAGTCCATCAAGTCCGGCCGGCGGCACCATGACGCCAAGAACGCGCCGTGGCGGGTGTGCGTCACCGTCGCCAACCTCTCTGCACCGAAAGGCCTCAAGCAGCTGGAGATTGGGATGACGGACGCCAGCAAGGCGAAGGGTGGTGGGGCCGTCAACCCGTGGCAGCTTCAAGCCGATGGCGAACCGGACGCCAGGCGGTTCGACTGCGTCACGGGGTCCTACCACGTCATGGACACCGTGGCCACCGGCCTCGACTCACACGCGCATCACCAGGCCCTCGTCAACAAGGAGCTCATTCTGAAGCACGGAGCGCTCACCACGTTTGTGCTCGATCTCGACCCGGTTAACCTCGACACGTTCATCGATGACGTCGCAGAGATCGCACGGGGTACTGCGGACGCGGTGATAGACGGCGTAGGCGAATCGGCGTACGTGCCACCTCCGACAGCCGCACAAATGGGCACCTCCAGCTATTCGCAGAAGTGGAGGGACTGGAACCAGCAGCAGAAATATACAAATCTGGAGAACTACCTCCAACAACGGCGAGATACAGGTGAATAAGAATCGGTGTAACAAGTCGTTGGTAAGTGGACTTCCTATATGGTTCAGTGTTGCTTAAGTATAATCAACGGTGGGAGGGCGAGCAGTTCTCCCGCATCACTCGGAACTGCTGATCAAACGCCCGAGACCCAGCCTATTCATATGTGTGTTGTTATTTTCGAATGAATGAATTCAATAAATAAAGTTGTGCTTGTGCGTTATCATGTGTACGATTTCCCATTCGTTGGCATAACCGCCCCTTTTTTGGTCGAACGACGTAGATGGTTGAAAGTTGACATCTACGCGTCGGTATTCGTGCAACAAATTCAGACCTGGAGGCATCACTCGTTCCTATCCTTCCTACCATGCTCAAAACGACTAAATGGCCCGAATATTTCCTCGGTTGCCTCTGTTGTTGTTGTTGTTGTTGTTGTTGTTGTTGTTGTTGTTGTTGTTGTTGCCTTAAGAGCGAGCAACTGGTGCATGGTTGGATTGAGCCTGTTCCCCCCGCCCGTCGTGTTCGTTGCGCGCGTTTCTGTTTGTGTTGTTGTATTGCGTGAAAATATTCTTCCTGAAACTAACCCTCTCCCCTCCTCGTGTATTTGGTGCTATTGCATCCCGGCTTTCACTCGTCGTCCCACGGATCTGGGGCACTCCAGGGAGGATCGGAGGTAAGACGATTCGGTACTTGCTACATCCTTTGCAACCGAACAGAACGCGATGCCTTAAGAGCGAGCAACTGGTGCACGGTTGGATTGAGCCTATTCCCCCCGCCCGTCGAGTTCGTTGCAGGCGTTTCTGTTTGTGTTGTTGTATTGGGTGGAAACATTCTCAACATGTCGTTGGTATCAGTCCTGGCGTAAGCTCACCACGATTGGATGATGTCGCCGTTTTCTTCCTTGTGTTCGTCCACTCTTTCTTTTTCATTTTCTTGTACGATTCGTTAACTGCCTCCCCCCCCCTCCGTAGGCCAAGATGGGGACAGGGACAAAAAGGGGGAAGGAGGGGGGCGATCAAGCGGGAATAAAAACGGTAGTGAAGCCGCCTTTGAACCTTTCGTCGAGGTTGCTCCCGGCGTGGCGTTGATCTGCGCGAAGGACGGTTGCACTCAGGAGTGAGGGCAGCTTCCCGGGGTTCACCGAATCAACGGGGGCCATCCAGGCGTGGCAAGAGGGATCTATAACGAGGCCACGAAGATTGTTTTCGTCAATGAGGAGAAGCACTGGGCGGACAAGGGTTGGTGCAGATCCGCCCCTGGTGCCACGGTTACCAAGGACGGGGTGGTGTACAGCGTGCACTCGAAACAACCCAGGTACCTGAACAAGGTCGCCCACGCCTTGAGAAAAACACCCGCGTGAAAGAAGGCGACGACGTCGGCGATGGCGAGGACTTTTCGGAGGTGACTGTGTTGTGTCATCACGACAAAGAGGAAGTGAATAGTCTAGTGTACGAGAAAAGTTAGGATTGTTGCTTGTGTTTCGCTTGTGGGGTTGGTCGCCCTCGGCGTCAACATCACGATACATGCACAAGTCTAGAGAAAAATAGAGACAGAGAGAGACAGCGAGACGAAGCGAAGAGGGACTCAGAGAGATAGATAGAGAGACTCAGAGAGAGAGAGAGAGAGAGAGAGAGAGAGAGAGAGA